CAGTCACTACTGAAAGTAAATCTCGTGCATTCCTATCACTTGGGAAGGCAACCCACAAACACGGTACATGTCCAAAAATCAAGGGCCCGTGGTGTCTGGAGCCCCTCATGTCCAACACTGGGAAATGACAGGAAGTGGAAATGACCGGTCCTGTGGGTTACCTTCTTCCCAGCCTTCCCTAAAGCCTGGGCTTCTGTTGTTCCCGAAGCTGCTTCCCATGGCCAGGCTGGTTTTCTGGGGACAGCAAACCAAAACAAGGTTGGCATTTGTCCTACCTGGGGCAAAGCAGAAACAACGCCAGCCCTGGCACAGTGTGCCTCTTTGGCCAGTGCCTGAAAGCAAGCGCCCTCCTTTGTCCCTCCCCCAACACACACACAATCCTGGCTTTGTCCACAGCACAGGGGCCCTCACATGGCCTGCGCCGGGCACTGGCCACCAGGACCTCCCTTGGGACTACTGAGTTTCAGGCTTACTGAATAGTCAAGAACTCATTTAGTTACCAAATCATTTATTTCTCCTTCCCCGGACCAGAGAAAACACCCACACAAAAAACATGCAAATAGTTTGTTTGCATGTCTCCTCGCTGAAAACATCACTCTATTTTTCCGCAGGTGTCTTCCATCTATTTTTATCGATGGATCTGGCAGTTTTCTCCCCAGACATTCTCTCCTTATTCCTCCTGTGCTCTTCCCAGCTTCCTAGTCACTCTAGGCTTCCCGCTTCCTTGTCTGCACCTCGCCTTCTCTGGATTCCAGCCCACGCGCCTGTCCATCCTCGGCCCAAGAGCACCATCTGCCATGTGATTGATTATCCACGGCGCTCTTCCGCAGAGGGTGCTGGCCCTGCACACAGGGAGGCAGGCGCTGCCACTGTACATGTCGGGCAGATGCCTCTCAAGTTCAAAATGGGGCCCTTGGAGAGAGAAAGGAGTCCAGCATCACTTGGCTCCAGATGTTCCACAAGAATGCTGTGTTGGCAAATGCTGCGTTACACAGCATGCATTTGCACAATGAAAGAAACGTGCTATGGAACCAACACACCCATCCCCCATGGAAAGCAGTTCTGGAGTCCACTGGGTAGGAATTCCTTTGTTCTTTCCAGCCACACCACCATGTCCCCTTGATAACAGCCTTCAGAGTCCCTGCAACACTACTAGGAGCAATGACAATGGCAATGGCAGCGGCAGCAAACCACGGACCTCAGAGAGCGTTGGAAGTTTTTGCACTACTTTCACAAGCCCAAGCTCACTTGGCCCTTAAAACCACTCTGGGTCATGCTTCTTCCCCACCACCCTCCACATGTTTCTAATAACTAGTGACTGGGATTTCACCGCAAGATTTGCACACATACAATCCATACACATACACCGGGTACCGCTGATTCCGACTCAGAGTGGCACTATAGGGCAGAGTAGAGCTGCCTCGTCATGTTTCCATGGCTGTAATCCTTACAGAAGCACACTGCCACATCTTGCTCCCAGGGAGCCGCTGGTGAGTGCTGACCACTGACTTTCCAGTTAGAAGCCAAGCATTTTAACCCCTGCACCACAAAAATGGTAGGTTATAGCAATATAAAGAAAGCCTGAGAAGGGTTCTTTCCCAACAAAAAGAATCTTCTATTACTTTGTGGGCATGTTTGAAGATTCAGATTCACGAAAAGCAAGCTTCTCTTTTATCATAGTAGTTTAAATCGTTGATTCCTAGTGAACATATTTTCAACCAATTAACATTTATAAAATATTTCCTTTGTGTGACACTCGATGTTAAGTGTAGGGAATAAAAAGATGAATAAATACGTTCGGGGTCCTTCAAAATATTCAGGTCATTAACAGAGATAGAAACAAAAATAACTCACAAATGCAGGCA